ATTTGAATTGCATTGTTAAATGAGCTGTATAGGTACAATACCTTGAACGAGAGTAGAAATATATGTATATTATATTCTAACAAAATTAATCTCAAATTTGTATCAATATACATAATTTGTATACAATATACAAAGGTCTAATCTAATGTAAAATATTTTAGACTAATAGTTGCTTTTTAAAAGTAGACTCAATAATCTACCTTTTTATCTTATCATATCTATATCCTCCCTTTTTCCTTTCAGAGTAGATTCAATAATCTACCCTTTTCTCTTATCATATACTCCACTAATTTTTCATGAAAAATGACAAGCAATGCCTACATGTGACTACTTAATATTACATTTATTTATTCACTCACAAAACACTAATATAACTTATTTGCATATGTGGGTCTATAGAAATAAAACAACCTACAAATTAGAAAGGTTCATAGTTCTAGGAGAAATAAGTAACTCATATGACAACGTAAAAAGTTTCGTAATCTAAAGATAAACAAAACATGACCTGCATCTAAATCAGATTAAAACACCAAGGAAGTTCCATCAGGTTAGCAGAGAATAGTAGATTGTTACTTTTAAAAGCTGGTTGTAAGCGGGGTCGCTCTCTGCTGTCGTTGGTGAAAGATCCTAAGATGTGTAGAAAGTGAACTTGCTTTGAGCCAAAAAGTCATACACTGGGTAGCTTTGGGATAGATCATACCCTGAAACCAAAAGACTATTGCAAATTCCTTGAATATCTGGAATGAGACCCTCCACTCCAGGGTGACTACTCTGAGAAACCCCCAGTGATGGAGCAACTGGGCTTACTACAGGCCAGTGTGGCCAAGGCAGCTTGGTGAATGATTCTGAAAAGACATTTAATGTCCTGAAGATTTCTATGCCTGGAGATAAATATACTGTTCTGGTGAACACTGACGGAAAGAAGGATTTGCAGAGTTGTGCCAAGTTCATGTGTGAACTGAAAGTCATGATCCAGGAAAATGAGAAACAACTTGAAAAAGTGAAGAATATAATTCCTTCTAATCAGATGGCCATAAATCTTCTCAGAAATCAAGTTAGACAAGAAATATCCCCATTATCCTAATCAGGAGGAGACAAGAACAGAGAGATAATAAAGCCTTTTACACATGTGTGTCAGAACCCCAGGTCTGTCAGAAGCGGTGACATTACTTAAAGGCCATTATGAAAAACAAATAATTCCAGTCCTGGGGAACAGAAACCAATGTTTAGCATAGTAGCACACTTCTGTAATCCCAATGCTGGGAAGGTGGGGGCAAGAGGATCCGAAGTTTAAGATCATCCTCAAAATTGAGGCCAGTTTGTGCTACATGAGACTATATATATGTGTGTGTGTGTGTGTGTGTGTGTGTGTGTGTGTGTGTGTGTGTGTGTACACAGGCTCCAAGGCCACAGAGAAACCCTGTCTCAAAAAACCAAAAGGAAAAAAAAGTTCTTTACTGGCATATATTAATTATTCATACTGATGGGTTTCCCTAGGACATCTTCATATAGGTACATGGTGTATCTTGATCATAGTCATCTCCATTACCATCTCTTCTCTTCCTTTGAGTCCCTTCCCTTTTCCATCCTTCTTCCCTCCCCTAGTCCCCCTTCAATGTTCATGTCTTTTAAAAAAAAAGTGAACCAATGAGTTTATAACAGTTATATAAAGAAACATGAGAACATACCAGTGGATCTACAACTAAAGAACATGTTTCTCTCACTTACCCAGCCACCATTAACTGCTTACAGATCCTTGGGGAGGGGTGGGACTTCGTGTGCCCTATTTAGAAGTTTGTTTATTTATTTATTTGGTTTTGTGTCTGTTTATTTTGGTTTGGTTTTTTTAAAATTTTTATTGAGCTCTACATTTTTCTCTGCTCCCCTCCCTGCCTCTTCCCTCCTCCCCCAAGGTCCCCAAGCTCCCAATTTACTCAGGATATCTTGTCTTTTTCTACTTTTTACTTCCCATGTAGATTAGATCTATGTAAGTCTCTCTTAGTGTTTGGTTTTGGTTTTTGAGACAGGATTTCTCTGTGTAGCCCTAGCTGTCCTGGAACTCACTCTGTAGATCAGGCTGGCCTCAAACTCAGTGACCTGCCTGCCTCTGCCTCCCAAGTGCTGAGATTAAAGGTGTGCACCACCACGCCCAGCTAGAAGTTTATTTTCAAACATGAACTAATGCAGTCATATTTTGGACTATTTTCCAGAAGTATCAGTTTCTCTCTCTTCTCTCTCTTTTTGGTAGGTGTAGGTAAGATAGTCAGACAGACAAGATAGATGTAAAGGTATAAGTATACAGATGTTTGTGTATATGTGTTTGTACACATGCATATCTCCATCCATTTTATCATTTAGTATGATTGCAAAATAAGTATAAAACTGGATAAAGGGTTTTTTTGAGTCTGGATCTCTCTACATAGTCCTGGCAGTCGTAGAACTTACTACGTAGACCAGCTGGGCCTCAAAGTCACAGAGATCAGATCTGCTTGACTCTGCCTCCAAAGTTCTGGGATTAAGAACATACACCACCACTGCCGACTCTGGATACATTTCTTATTGGAAATCATACTGCTTTGGAAAGGGGTGTTACCCAGGGAGTCATATAAAGATCAAAGTCACTATCTCTTCTACACAAGGCAGTTCTCAGAGACTACTTTTCCTCATACAATCAAGTTAAATAAAACATTTCGTATAGTCTTTTCACAGATGTCTCAACTAGAGTTTGCTGGAAATCTTGCTACTTGACCCCCCATCCCCCCCCACACACCACACCACACCTAAAATCAAATCTTAGGCACTTTCCTATAACTGTCTTCACTTAAATATCTCTTAAATAGCTATAAGATACTAGAGATAAAGAGATGCAATGAAAATGAAGCGCACAGACCCCTCCGTACTTCAAAGCCTGACTTTCACATCCATGTACACGACCGAGGACCCAGGAGTGCAGTGACACAGACTGCTCATCCAGCATGCTTGAGGCCCTGGGCTCAACCCCAAGCATAGAACAGAACAGAAGAGCAAAACAGTTCTATTTGCCTATCAAGATGATCACACTAAACAACAACTCAGTCTTAATTCCCTGGCCTCTCAATGACTGTGACCTCAATTTCCACTAATTTTTAGCTATTTCCATAGTTATATCTTAGAACTTATTCCGGAAACTTTAAACCAGTGGTTCTCAGCCACCTTTCCTCATGTTGTGGTGACCCCAAGCGATGAAATTATTTCGTTCCTACATCCTAACTGTGATTTTGCTATTGTTATGAATTGTAATATAAGTATCTGACATGCTCTCCCTGTGAAAGAGTCATTTGACTCAAAGGGGTCACAACCTACAGGTTCAGAACCACGTTTTAAACCAAAATGCCTCACTCTAACTGGAAAAAATACACACCAATAATATTACCAGTGGCTTCCTTGATAAGGAAATTATATATACTCTAAATATTGTATATGTACTCTAAATATTTGATTTAATCATACTTTTATTTTCTTAGGGAAACAGTTTTGTAATAGAAAAAAAAAGAAACTTTATTATCTAATTCTTCCAAGTGTTATAACCTCTTGTTCCAGCGTTCATCTGAACTAAATTCAAATCTGCTTTCCAATATCAAGACCTCTAGACCCGAATCCCTTGTGGTTGGGATTCCCTCAGTGCTTACCTTATTCTGGCGTATATCACAATGTTTTGTAATGTTTGCTGACATGTGTGTCTTTCCTTTATATTCCAAGTTCCTAATGATCAAATAACACCTCCAGAGGAATGTGTACCCATAAGACCTAGCTCAGTGTGACTAATATGAACAGACACTGCCTTCTAAGTGAATAAATATTGAACTAGCATTGACCTATATGAATCAGACAGTTTAAGTTCTAATTCTTTCACTTTCACATGACACCAGGAAAGTCAACCCAATTCTCTGCATCTAAATTCTGTCATCTGTAAAGTGGGGTGATAATCCTATTTCATAGATGTCAGAGACTTAAATATTTGTAAATGTCAGTCATGTGAGTTATTTGCTCAAACTGGCTGAATCACATGCTCTCAGTTCTTTGCACTGCTTTCCTCGGTTCACCGGAATCACCTTTTTATTGCTTCTTGGCATCAGCAGTTTCAGAGCTGACTAACCATTAATTGTTCCAGATTGTTTACTTTGCACTCCCCTAAAGAAGATAAGGCACAGTCAGGGTATCCTGAAGCTGTGCCTGCGCCTCCCAGGAGGCATTTGCAGTTATTCAAACACGGAAGGTGCTTCCTGGAAAATTTTGGTTTTTGTTTGTTTTTGGAACCAGTTCTTATACAGCTCCAGCCAGACTAGAATGTGCTATGCTGCTGAGGGTGCTGCTGAGGATGCCGTTGAACTGATCTCTTCCTGCTCCATCTTCCAAGGCCCTAGTTGCCATGGTGACTATTTTTAGACATAGCACCTTAAAGAGTCAGTGAAGGGATTTTTTTTTAAACAAATAAGAGACATCTCTCTATTACACACTGAGGAAAGGCCATGTAAGAACTGAGTGACAAGAAAACAGTCGGCAAGCCAGGAACAGGCTCTCCAGACAGCAATCCTGAAGGTACTCCACCCCCTCAGAACACCCTCTCTCCAGAACTCAGTTGATCCCAGCGTCTTAGTCTCCAGTGTACAGGGATTACAGACACAAACATTACACCTAACCCAAATGTCATCTTGGTCTTGGACTTTCAGCCTCCAGAACTGTGAGCAAATAGATCTTTGTTGCTTAAGCCACCTACCTCGTCTATGGTATTTTGTGTGGACGCCCAGACTAGTGAGTTCCCAAGGTCAATTAAATATAAGCCTCTCAGTAGGAACTAGACATTAGCATTTTGGGAGCTCCTAGGTCATCTAATGTCTACAAAGCATCTTTATTTTACTGTACCTTCAAACTACGATGGAACCAGGCTTTCTTTCCTGTAATTGTAATTGTGTAAAACTAAGTCAAATAATCAGAGTGTATAGAACCACAACAAAACTTGCCTTAAAAGTCATCTGGAAGGGTGTTACGCCTGATGTGTCTTGAGAATGGTCACCCTCCTCTGAAGCCGAAGTCAGCTTTGCAGAGAATCTGGGCAGCACAGGTTGTATTTCTATACAAGAAGAAATATCCACAAATCAGATCAGCAGGTTGGGTAAGCAACAGACTCCGTGATATATTTATTAAACTGAGGAGCCAAGAAGGCCTGCCTTCCTCTGATGAAAGATTACCAGCAAAATGTGAAATATGAGAACTGGCTATACATCAGCAAATTGTTTCAATATTTAGAATTACTTTCTAGAGGAAAGACACCTAATCTCTTATTTTTAATTTTTTAGATTTGTTAAATCAACCTAAAATTTCAGTTTCTACAAAGTCATGACTAGTGACAGACGTTCCAGCTGACAATGATAGTCCTGCATTTTTCAATAAATCGGTACATTATTTCATAAACACAAGTCCACTAAAGCAACTAAGTTAGAGCTAAAAACTGAAAAATTTGAGAATGACTGTTTCAGGCATGTGATTTTTAAAATATTGTAGTCCTTAAACTCAAATTCTCACCAGTTTTAAGAATTAAATGCTTGGCCAGGCAGTGATGGTGCCCACCTTTAATCCCAGCACTCGGGAGGCAGAGGCAGAGGCAGGCGGATCTCTGTGAGTTCGAGGCCAGCCTGGTCTACAAGAGCTAGTTCCAGGTCAGGCTCTAAAACTACAGAGAAACTCTGTCTCGAAAAACCAAAAAAAAAAAAAAAATAGAGTGAATTTGGATGTGTTGACCCAGAGCTAGCTTTCCACGAGGCACCTGTGAGTCATGGATTATCCACAACAAAGAGAACATCATAGTCTGTACCATCCCTCTTCTTTATTTCCTGTACCTGAATTACAAAATATAAAACAAAACAAAAAACAAACAAAAACTTTCCCATTCTATAAAATAAAAACTTCTTAGTGCAGGAACAGTAAAGAAACCACTGTAACAAGTTACTTCAACTTCAAAAGTCTAATAGCAATAAAAACACCTTGAAATAATAATACAAATATTCATACTCATACCTAATAGTGTTTTAACTATTAAAAAAGTATAAACTTTCCCAAGATAAAAATATAGATTCCCATCTTCATGAGTAACATTTTTCTTGTCATTGTGTTCTACAAATCTAATTCAGTCACAAAGCCCAGGATAACTTGGTAGCAAGGTCATGCTACAAGGAGCTTGGTGACCTTGATACTGAACCCAGATACTCCATGTCACTCTTCAGCTCACCATTGACCAACCGCCCTTTTCTGATTCAGTTGTTTTTCTGTGAAGTAAAGATCAACTGCTCCTGAGTTCTATGTCTTTTTAAATTAGTAAGAGAGTATAGTGATGAGAGAATTGTCAGTGCAAGACAAAAGGGGGTGTTGAGTGTCTCTGAATTCTTTAGAATAATCTTGATAACCATATAAAACAAACTGTGTACTTTAAAAAAGTCTACTCCAACCATCTCATTCTGCACAGCAAAAAAGAAATGAGCAAGCAAACAAGATATAGATTATATATAAAAAGGTGAAAGAATCAGAAGTATATTATTTCAAGATAAATTGAGCCTATGTTGAAATCTCATGTTCCTGTTCAAACATATATTATAGGACAAATATTTTGAAATTTAATAAAGACACATTCATGGTGGGGGAAGAGGAAAATGTAATAGACCATAAATGGAAAGACAAGAGGGCTACTTGCTGCTAAGCCCAACAACCTGAGTTCAATCACCAGGTCTCACATAGTGGAAAAAGAGAACTGACTCCTACAAGTTATCCTCTGACCTCCAAACTTGCACCAGGGATGAATAAGCACTGCCTACTCACCTGAGGGATGGCTAGAGCAAAGGAGAGGTGGTAGCCACATTACTGTGTGATGTAAGCAGTCACAGGACTCAGAATTACACAACTATCACATCCAGGAGCTTTGCATCTCATTACCCAGGTAAAGTACAGTTTAAGACATATGCCATACCAGGCTAGGGCTCAGCAACCCTGAGAACTTTTGACCTACCAGTTGACAACATGGGATGTATTCAAGCAAACAGATCAGGGGCAATTAACTCTAAATTACCAAGCAACGAAGCTTGATACCATCAAAACTATAACATGGCAAACAACAACACTTATACCTGAAGAGTTAGTAATTAGACATTTTAAAATAAATATCTATACCTTCAACAAAGAAAAAGAAGCCATGAAACAAGAACCCACTTGTTGTACGGAGACTGCTTGTTCGTTTCCTGGCTGCTTAGCCCAGAAATAATCATACAGAAACTGTATTAATTAAAACACTGAAAAAAAATAAAAAATAAAAAAATAAAACACTGCTTAGTCCATTAGCTCTAGCTTCTTATTGGCTAGCTCTTACATATTAATTTAACCCATTTCTATTAATCTGTGTATCACCATGTGGCTGTGGCTTATTGGGTAAAGTTCTGGCGTCTGTCTCCAGTGGTGCTACATGACTTCTCCCTGTCTCTGCCTCCTTTCTCCCAGCATTCAGTTTAGTTTTCCCTGCCTACCTAAATTCTGCCCTATAAAACAGGCCAAGGCAGTTTCTTTATTCACCAATGGTATTCATAGCATACAGAGGGGAATCCCACATCACCCACTGTAATAAGTTAAACCAAAAGTAATAGGGGAAGCCTTATTAAAAAATATTGGAATTTAAAGATATGATGTTTGAAATTAAACCCTTATAAATGGGGGTCTGACTGCTCTTGCAGAGGACCCAGGTTTGATTCCCAGCACCCACTTGGTGATTCACAACCATCTGTAATGAGATCTGGTGCCCTCTTCTGGCCTGCAGGCATATGTGCGGGCAGAACACTGTATGCATAATAAATGAGAGAGAGAGAGAGAGAGAGAGAGAGAGAGAGAGAGAGAGAAAGCAGGCTGAGCAAACCACCACAGGGTGTAGTGACATTTCAAATGTCTTTTAATAAATAAATACTGCTTGAAGATCTGAGAGTAAAACAGTCCCACTAGACAGCCTTACAGACCAGGTTATGGTAACACACATTTTTAATCCCAGTGGTGCATGCCTTTAATCCCAGCCTAGAGAGGAATATAAGACGAGGGGGGTGAGATAGCTCTCAGGCACTGAGATTCCTGAAGGTAGGATTGTCCTTTCAGACTGAGGTCAAGGTAAGAGTCAGTGGCTGGCTGTTTTGCTTTTTGGATCTTCAGGTTGTACCCCAATTTCTGACCCTGAGTTTTTGTTTGTTTTTGGTTTTTCAAGACAGGGTTTCTCTGTTGCTTTGGAGCTTGTCCTGGAACTAGCTCTTGTAGACCAGGCTGGCCTCAAACTCACAGAGATCTGCCTGCCTCGTCTCCTGAGTGCTGGGATTAAAGGCGTGTGCCACCACAGACGGCTTCCCTGAGCTTTTATTAATCATGCTTCAATGGGAAGAAAGCCAGTAAGTAGCACCCCTCCTTGGCCTTTGCCTCAGTTCCTGCCTCCAAGTTCCTGCCCGGTCTGAGTTCCTGTCCTAACTTCCTTTGATGATGAACAGCAATATGAAAGTGTAAACCAAATAAACCCTTTCTTCCCCAGCTTGCTTTTAGGTCATAGTGTTCCATCACAGAGATAGAAACCCTCTCTAAGGGGTAGAGAGATGGCTCAGTGGTTAAGAGCATTGGCTGCTCTTCCAGAGGTTCTGAAGTTCCATTCTCAGCAACCACATGGTGGCTCACAACCATCTCAGAGGGAACCTGATGCCCTCTTCTGGCATAAAGGCATATATGCAGATAGAACACTCATACATAAAATAAATTTTTTAAAAAACTAGCTAAGACATACCGTAATATGAGGAAATCCTGAAAAACCAAGCTTAGACAAGCACCAGACATAAAAGGCTATGCATCATACAATTCCATAATATTCAAAATAGGCATATCAATAGAGGGGGGGAAACAGGTTAATGTTGCCAAGGCACAGGGATTGAGGGCAAATAGAGTCATTACTGGTTTTGTTTTGTTTTTGTTTGTTATTTTAGGTGATGAAAATACTGGAATTAGATAATGCTTATGATTAGATAATGATTGAGTATATGATTAGATAATGAATTATATAATTACTGAGATTATAAGAAAAACAGGTGAATTATAAGCATTAAAATGGTATATTATGGCATGTGGAATGTATACCAGTTAAGAGGAGAAAAGATAAAAGACATTAACATAGACCCAAGGAAAATACTGGCAATTATAATAAGACACAGACAGATATAATTACTATTTGAATAAGTTAGCCAGGTACAAAGAAGTCTAATTTTCTAATAAACAAAATAGAGCTGGAGGATGACTCCACAGGTTAAAGATGCTTGCCATGCAAGCCTGGCCACATTAGTTATATTCCTGGACCCCACACTGGAAGGAGATAAACGACTCAAGAAAGTTGTCCTCTCCAATGGAACCGAATAGAAGACCCGGATATCAATCCATACATCTTCGAACACATGATCTTTGATAAAGAAGCAAAAAATACCAAATGGAAATAAGAAAGCATATTTAACAAGTGGTGCTGGCATAACTGGATATCAACATTTAGAAAAATGAAAATAGACCCATATCTATCACCATGCACAAAACTCAAGTCCAAATGAATCAAAGACCTCAACATAAAGCCAGCCACACCGAACCTTATAGAAGAGAAAGTGGGAAGTACACTTGAACACATTGGCACAGGGAACCGCTTCCTAAATATAACCCCAGCAGCACAGACACTGAGAGAAACAATTAATAAATGGGACCTCCTGAAACTGAAAAGCTTCTGTAAAACAAAGGACACGGTCAACAAGACAAAACGACAGCCTACAGAATGGGAAAAGATCTTCACTAACCCCACATCAGACAGAGGTCTGATCTCCAAAATATACAAAGAACTCAAGAAATTGGACACCAGGGGGCTGGAGAGATGGCTCAGTAATTAAGAGCACTGACTGCTCTTCCAGAGGACCCGGGTTCAATTCCCAGCACCCACATGGCAGCTCACAACTGTCTGAAAATGCATTCCACAAGATCTGACACCTTCACACCAGTGCACATAAAATAAAGTTAAATAAATCATTAAAAAATTAAAAA